CAGCTTCTTCCATTGTTGTGTAACTTGGGTTGGATACGTGTTTTATTAAAGGATGGTATTTCAAGATCACCACATAATATGCTAGTTTTTAATGAAAATGTGGTGTCGATCTGGTAGAAATCTGGGCGGTGAGTGGGAATAGATTGTACGACGGTGGAAATTCCGGGGTGATGTGGACGCCATGCACCTCATTAAAATTAAACTAAGAGATGTTCATGATCATAGTGTTGTTCACCATTGGATTCATGCCCCTCAACATGTATTCTCAGCTGATACGTTGAAAGGTTTTGAAGTGCTTGCTCTGCAACTAGAAATTTCAAAATTTTCACAGAATCGCTTTTTTTTGGGGGGGGGGTGATCTAATTACTATCCCGAGTCCAAAAGTTGGAGTGTATGTCATCACTGTACTCCGGGGATTTATGCTGCAGTAATAATCAGCCTACTGCAGCTGGGATACGTGCCTTTGGTGTGTTACATTAGACTTGGTTATGGGTCAAAAGTGTAACTGATATATTTCTTAAGTGTAATAGTAGTTTGATGCCCGACCTGACACTTAGGTAATCCAGCCCACTCCCACTTCTCCATATTTGTCAACAGCAGCACGGTTTCTGCCGACACCCCCCCCACACACACAAACAACTTCTAACGGCGCCCGTGTTCAAAAGTCTCACTATGCAAATTGTAATATGGTGGGGTGGCATAGTAACTTCCTGTGACAAAAGCACCAACTAATGGACAGAGATAGATCAATAACGAAATATACGCAATTTAATTCTGTGTGGGTATCATGGCTGGGGGCTCTTTACAGCCATGCTAGGCAGTGCTCGGGCAACACTTCTTGGCAACGTTGCTTTTGTTGGATGCAAAATGAAATACTTTTCTGCCTTCCGCTATTTACCAAATACATGTAAACGCTTGACGCACATTGGCATATAAAAGGATGTATTTTCTTTTATTTACTCTCTTGAAAAGCCATAAAGATACTTACGTCTCGTGGGTAACAAATACATTTATACAATATAGATGCAGTGAATCTCACAGAGTTAAAAAAATAATGACAGTTTTAAAAGCTTCTTTTTGTCAGAAGACAAGCATTAGGGTATTTCCACGGTAGTTTCAGAAAAGGGCTATAGGGCCTACACATTGCAGCTTCAAATCCCTTATTTTTAGCAATAATGTTTTCGTTGAAGTGATTTCAAGTCAGGTCTTTTCGAGTTAACCTCTTTTCCGGGAGTCCTGGAAGGCAATGTGCTACTAATGCACCTTAGTGTTGCATTAGTTATCATGAATATGATTTCAGGAAGATGCTTGTTTTTTCTCTGAACCTGATTTTTGTTCTTTTATGACTAATAAAAGATTCCAGGAAAACACCTGGTTTCTATGCAGCGGAGTTAACAATGCACTAGAGTTACATATTATTTATCATGCATGGAGAATTGCAAGAAGACACCCGAAGGGCTGTGATGGAAGAGATTTATTTGGTTTCGTCTGCCTTATCTATGCGCCAGAGGTAACAATCCTCCAGAGTTTCTTGCTATTTGTCATGAATGAAGGATTGCAAGAGGACACCCC